CCAGCACGTACCCCTGTTCCTTCATTGCATAGAAAAGCTCATATGTCTCACGAGCACAGCCGGCTTTTATGAGGCCATGGATTAGTATAGAATAGCTCCGGACATCTGGAGTGAATCCCCAAGTCTTGATTTCCTCGAAAATAGACCTACCTTTCTCTGTTTCACCTGCTTTGAAAACACAATCCACATAAGTGTTAAGGAGGGTAAGGTCAGGAGAAGTTCCTCGGCGGACCATCTCCTTGTAAATTTTGTGGCCATCTTCCTTTCTTCCACACTTGAAGAAGTTCCTGATAAGAGATGTATAGACAATGGCATTAGGAGTAAGATCAAAATCCAACATTTGTTCATAGAGTCTGTATGCACCATCGACTCTCCCTTGCCTACCCAGGCCATCTATCAGAGAACAAAATGTGAATTCATTTGGTGAACAAACTTTATGATCCATAGATTCGAAGATAGAACAAGCTTCATTAAGTTGTTGAGCCTTACATAGACGATCGATCATTATATTCACAGTCAATACATTAGGAAACAAGCCAACTGCCTTCATGGTGTCACGAATTTCTAACGCATCATCAAGCTTCCCTGCCCTGCAGAGCATGTCTATGAGAATATTATAGGTAGAAAGATTAGGTGCAGCATCTTTTCTCATCTCCTGAAATATCCTTAATGCCTCGTCAACTCTCTGTTTCTTCCCAAGGCAAGTAAGAAGACTATTGTATGCAATCACGCTTGGTATGGAACCTTTTTGTCTTTGTCTCTCAAGCAAATTATATGCTTCATCAAATTTTCCAGCGGATCCATAACCCATGATCATGGTGTTATAAGCATATGCACATGGAACGGTCCTGTTGAATTCCAACTGCTCAAACAAGTCTACAGCTTCATTCAATCTATTAGCTTTGCAAAGAACCCCAATCATACTGGTATATGTCACATCGTCAGGCAAAATACCATGCGCCTTCAACTCATGAAAGAATTTCCAGGCCATATCAACTTTGCCAGCCTTACCAAAACAGTCGATGCAAACATTATAGAGGACAATATCTGCATCAAAAGCATTGCTTTTCATCTCATCCAACAAGGAGAGAGCAGCATCAACTCGGCCCTCCCTAGCAAAAGCTCGAATTACTGTCGTGAATAAATGTACATTTACTTCATATCCTAATTCTTGCATCTGATGAAAGAGGGTGAGCATGAGATCAGGTTCTTGAACAGCAGAGAGCGCACCTATTAGAGTTGTATATGCAGAAAATGCAGGGCGAATCTTAAACTTTCTCATGGTTTGAATTATATCAAAAGCTTCTTTCAGTTTTCGCTTCTTTACACAGCCTGCAACCAACTCAATCGATACAGTGTTAGATGGGCCAAATCCAGCAAGACTAATTTCTTCCAGAATTTGTTCCAGATATTCAAAATTTCTACTCCTGGCCATTACCATGAGAAGTGAATTATATGCTTCTGGACAATGTGCTTGGAGAGTTTTCTTCTCAGCCCATCGGAAGTAGTTTAATGCAACATTGACATCGTCTAGCCGCCTTAATACTCCAGTGACCAACTCAGTGCTAGGATTTTCATCACATTTAGATAAAGCAATCTCCACGGAAGGTCCCCAAGGACCACTCTGCAAGATCTTGCAAACATTATCCACTGCTTGCCTTACACCCTCCAATTTGCTTGAAAAGGCCTCACTCCACCCATGCACGTTATCTACTCCATTTTGCACATACTCCGGCCTGTTTGGAAATTCAGGGTTCCTCTCTGGAATGACGGAACTGACAGGTCTATCCAAGTTGGAATATCCATTATTGGAAACGCAGAACCTCTTGCAATTAGCAAATACAGAGGTGCTTTTTAAATCGTACTGAGATCTCAATCCTAAAGCAGAATATAAAAAGAGTAAGCAACTATGATATAGTGCTGCAATCAAAGAAAAGAAGGCTACAAAGAAATAAATACTCCCGGCTGTCAGAAAGATAAGTACTCACTATTGGAAAAGCATCTAGACGAACACATTCACCCCTCCCCTCCCTTCCTTCACCATGTAATTTGTTTCTTTTTTTCCAAGTTATTTAAGTGAATAAAAAGTATCTTTAAATCGTGATCAATAACCATCGTGTAGGTAAGTTCTTTAAGTAAATTTGAACAAAAAAGTAATCTTTAAAGCTAATCAATAACATCATGCAGATACTTAAACAACAACAGCAATAATTTCGCTCAATCCTTATCTAGTTGAGGTTGGCTATATGAATCCTTATATGCATTCTGCTCAACTGGACCTGCTTCATTCTAATATTCGATAAGTTGTCTTTGGTAATTTTTACATGAATGGAGTCTATAAGAAGATCAGCAGAACTGCCAGCAATCAGTACTGCTCCGACTTATGTGCTAAAAATTGCTTACGATAGATTAATCCCAAGTCCCAACTAATGCATCAAGTAGGTACTTGAAGATCAAAACTTTATAGCTGAGATACGCACATGAATATGAGGTTTTACAGCAACAGAAACAATGTTTTCGCAATTAATGGAAGGTTGATAAGCAACACTGGACAAGAACTGCTTCTAATCTTTCCAGTTTTCCTAGGAACGGCAGTCAAACAGCTAGGCTATATCTAACTTATAACAAATACCTCTGTTAATCAATTGTAACCTCATCCTAGCCCGTTGCAGCTGAGGCTATGTCATTCTCTCAACCTGCCAAATAGACAAATCGAGAAGTCTTGACCTAAAATTATCTCAACCTGAAAAAAAAACAAATAGAACATATAAGACTAGGTAATTAATCAAATTATCCTTCAACAGTCCTGCAGAAGTGTTTTAACATAGAGTACAACTAAAGCTTTGACACAAAAGACCAGTTTTTTATGTTCTGGGCTACAGTGTTGTCAAAAGTGAAAAGCTTCAAAAAGTGCTCCAGGTCGATTGGGGCTTTAAGCACAACACGCAATTGAAGTGCGGACTTTAGCAAAAAAGGCGCAACAACTCATTTAAGAAGAAGGAAACAAACTCATTCCTAATGTTTTCCTCAACAACTAATGCACTTATTTGTCAAAAATATTTGTTGTTTAGTACCACTAGAGTCAAGATAAAACTCATGCATGGCATAGTGCCTTGCCTACACTGAAGCACAGCTTAAGCGAGGCAAAGCGCCCTCCCTGAGCTTTTCTGAGCTTCAGGGCTGAAGCGCGCCTTAAATGAGCCTTTGACAACATTGTTGGGCTACCAAAGTTCCAAACTTTCCTGGCTCAGTATCTACTGCAAAACAAGAACTGAATTGCAACTAAATATTTGAAACAAAGAGATTAATCTATTATATGCCTGGCTTCCAAGTAAGAAGCTTTGAAAATCCTAGAGTACAAAGAAAAACAAGAATCGGGTTGCAACTAAATTTACAAAAGACCAATTTATTAGATGTATGGCTATAAAAAAGATGGGTTTTTCTGGGTCGAATAGAGAATCAGATAAAACAAAGGAAAAAAATAAAAAGCAAGAATTGGAGAAGAAAGACACAAATTTGTTACATAACATACCTCTGATTGATAGCTCAAATAGTTGCTGGTTAGGATTTTGGGGTGAAAACTTTAACACCCCAAGAACTAAAATGGAGCCTGAAGTTATTTAAGAAAAGGGTTTTAGCAAGTTAGGGTTTATGCTCTAAGGAGCTGAGTGAACAGAGTTACCAGGTGAGGAGTTTTTCACTTCAATAGTTGAGAGTGATTAGTGTGTGAAACGTAAACTGGAGTCCGATGTAAGATCTTGGTTTTTAGTACTAAACCAAGTGTATTGTCGTGTTCAATCTATTTTTAGGGGTGAAGTCCATAATGTATATTCCCATTGACCAGAAAAAATGACATGGTCAATACATCTAGTTTTTGTTGTTATGTCTATTCAATTTTCTTAAAGTTTTCCAATATTTACTTACTTACTTAAGAAATTTAGAGTACGATAAAACATTTAATAAATTTTTAAATCATGTTTTAAGGTATTAACATATTTTAAAGTGAAATAATTTTTCTTTTTTTGTACAAAAGATAAATATCATTAATTAAATATATGCGTACAGAGAGATCGATGCCCAAGTTACACCATATTACAAATTAAGCTATTACTAGTAGTAGCTACATTGTTTGTGATATTACTAATGGAGCTATCATCACAACAACATAAGGAGGTTGATAGTAGCTGATGTACATTCGTGTTTCCATTTTGTGGTTCATTGCTGCTCCTCCCAACTGATACAGCATGGTGATCTTCTAAGGCACATGTTGTTGATGGTATTGAGCGCATAATTGTGAGCCCTTGCTTATCAACTTCCAAAATTGGTCTAACAAAAAGTGGTGGTGCATCAAAAACTCGCATTGTAAAGGTGCTATCGTACCTCGTTTTCTTGCGAAAGCGGGTTTCGACGTCGTGACAACTCCTTTTGGAATGGAAGGTAGAGTTCTAAAGAAGAAAAGTCGCCACCAAACGATTTTTAAGGTGTGTTAGGGCACCTATTTGCAAATAACTCTATTTGACTAGTCAACGCCACCAAAGATCGGGTAAAGGCTCAAATTACCTTAAAGAAAAGGTGTTAGGCATTCTTCGAGGACCACAACCGTGGGTCTCGGTCGAACTTAAAATTATGTGGATTACTATTAAACTAGGTGATCAAATAAACAAAGGGAATTCAGAAGTCAAAGGATTTTATTATAACACAATTAGTATAAGTCTTAACATGAATGCATGGATACAATTATTTATATCTAATAACCGCACATGAAAGAAAGAAAAGGAGGGGGGAGGTCCTAAGTTTTTTAGCCTAAAGGATCACCTAATGCAACATAAATAATACTTCGCAACTCCCTTAGGATAGGAGTTACTCATATTATTCAACGGGCACAGACTATTATCTCCTGCTACTCGATTACTATGTTAAAGTTGTACCTAAAGCGTTCTAATTTAATTCTAAGTCATACCATATGCGTGCACTACCCGTCCCATACCTATGGTCCAGGAGGTATTGGACCTCTATTTGGGTGGATCTAGACCTCACTTAGGCTGCTCAGAAATGTCAAAACTAGGCGACATACAAAACACATTGGACTTCACATATAGGGAGTTAAGACTCAAGTTTGCCTCCACACTTATGCAACAAATGCATGCAAGACAAATATTCAAGTTAAAGCAATCCAGAATTAAGAATCTTAAGCCCTATAGACATGATTTCTTGACAAGGCATCAAAGCATACAAGCAGTCACAAAAGACCAGGCGTTGTTTATCTCTAAATGATTATACGATTTGCATGTTGATTTGAGATTGCAGATTTCTAGTATTTTAACCTACAGACACTGTATTTAAGTGATTTACGCACTAAGTGATAGTGAAACCTATTGGGAGAGACCTAGAATTACTTACACATTGACAGTGGCCTAAGTGAACATAAACAATATTGAGAGGTGCAACATTAACCATTATTAAGACGAACAGTGGTACCTTATAGACAGGATTTCTAATGATTAGCACTTTGAGCCGATTTTATTATTATACTTAACCCTATAGACATGTTTTCTAGGTGAACAGTGTGATGCAATAACAAATGAGATGATTAAAATCCTATAGGCATGATTTCTAGTGGACAGTACGAGATAATAGCAAATGAGCTGATCAAAATTCTATAGACATGATTTCTAATGCACGTGCTGAAGCGAATTGAAGGAAAGTTCAGTGACATTTGTTTCTATAGGCAGGTTTTCTAGTAACACGTAACAACAAGAATAATTGCAGCATATGAATTCATGTTTTCCAGCAGATAGTGTGTGTGTGTGTGTGTGTGTGTGTGTGTGTGTGTGTGTTTCCCTTAATGACATGATTTCTATAGTACACGTAGTGATTGAATAGCATATATAGCAAGTAAATCACTGAGTCCTATATGCATGTTGTCTACCCCTCTTCATGCGAATATTAAGAATCTACCCATTCTCCATTTTTTATTAACACCCCAATTGTTTATTACAAAAGTTATTACATGCCCAATAATGAATAAGATTATAAATGTGGTACAAATAATGACAGTAAGCCCACAACAGGCCCAAATAAATACCCAGCATTGTCTGGGCCTTCAGCAGCATACCCAGACTTTCAACAAAGTCCATGTTCATCAACACAACCCAGAATCCATAGAAGAACTCGAAGCCAAATCACACAATCATATTGCCACACATTGAATTACTTAAGCCAACCAGCTTACATGCTCATGGGACAGTAAGAAGATGGAACAGGGATAATTCAGGTTCCAGCATTAGGGGAAATGATTAAGGACCCAAACCCTAGTGTGTCAGAGTTCACAAGGGCCTCAAATGGACCCCGAGCAGTGCTCACACTAGGGAGGTCAGTAGTAAAAGTTTTGGTAGCCTTGACTTTCAGTCGGCTAAGAATAAGAGGTTTAGAGAGCATAGGTGACAAGTGAAAGGGAGTGGACAATGGTTGAAAGGCAGGAATTGAGAGGTACATACATAGTCTAGTTAAGCATATAGAGCAGATAATCGAACAAGTCATAGGATTTAAGAACAAATAGGTTCAACACTCAGTGCGTTGGCAATCACACATTAGCAGGGTTAAGGAAAGAACAAGTTTGCAGGATTGAAAAAGGTTATCATACCCAGATTCATAGTATCAAACAAGTTTGCAGGATTGTAAGAAGTTATCATACCCAGATTCATAATACCAAATGAGTTAAAAACCAAAAAGGTCCAACTTATGCTAAGTGTAGGTCCTAGTATCATAAAAATAGTCATGTTAATTCGATAGCAGAACAACATTTAGACAGGATAGGGGAGCAAATCATGACAACTACTGGTGAATCAAGGGAACCAAAAACATACTAAAGGGAATATTGATATAGAACTAGTCATGGTTGATAAAAAATTCTTGATACAGGATTAGAACGTGCTACATAGGCAATATACAACCATAGAAATTCAGAATAGGAAAGAAGATAGACTTGTACCCTAAGTGTAAACATTCATGTTTTGAACACAATTGACTAGTTAGCTAAAGAGAGTACAAATTTTGCAGGTAAAACATGTTCAAATAATAGAATTGACAGTCTGAAGCAAAAATAGACACCAAAGAGATGCTGACAAGTGCAAAGGTCCCAAATAGCAGTAGTTCATAACACATTGGCTAAATAGACTTAAAGAAGAATCTAATTTACTCGAATCACGCTTAGGCATATTTCAAATTATCAACATTATGAAGTCAAAGGTTAAAAAGACCTAAAATTGAAGTAAAGCAATCAGAATTGCACATAAAAACAACCCAGGAAACACATTAAGCTACGACCTCCAGAAGTGAAAGCATATGCAAATGGCAAGTAAATAGGAATGAAGTGGCAAAGGTCCAGTAACTCACAAGTTAAACGAATAATAGTAAAGAACGAAATTCCACAAGAACCCTGAATCCCAATGCTCTAGGCAATGCTCGCACCCAGAGATGGTTGAGTAACAAGGTCTTAGTGGCCTTGGCTTTCAGTCGGCCAAAACAAAATACAGAATAATAGAATAGCAAAAATCCCAATTTTAGTGAAGAATATGTAGATTCAAGTCTCGTAATAAAGGGGAATGGGGAAGGGTTTATATAGCAGTAAAAATTGAACGAACACACAAGGAAATGAAATAAATCAAACAACAAATAAGAAAAGAAAACATGCAAAATCAGTTCAAAATCAATTTAGGAGAAAAATCCAGTAAACCCTAGTATTTTATGGAAAGTGTAAATCAATAGAAATCTAAATGAGATCGGGCTCACATAATATAGTATTGAACGTATATAGACGAAATAATGCTCAAATCAAAGATTCGGACCACTTTGGTTCGATTTCAGAAGATATTGCTTGCCATGTTTAGGCAAGCACCTAGGTAACATCACAAACAGATAACCAGTACCAAAAGGTTTCAAATATGGCAAGAGAATAGTAGTCAAATCCCATTATTAGTGGGATTTGGAGAGGGATAAAGTGGAGGCGTCTAGGGTCCGTGAAAGAGAAGAGAAGAGAGGATACATGGGCAGTGTTTTAGACAAAATGGGGTTAGGGTTTCTAGGATTGAGGTTAAATTAAAAGGGGTTAGTTTATTAGGGGTCGTTGATCTCTTGAGATCAACGACCAAGATGAGAAAAGGGAGCTGGGTGGGTTGTGTAAAATGGGTTACCGGTCGGATTGTAAAATAAAAGGGTGGTTTGGTTTTGGACTTGGGGTAATTGGGCTAATGTTGGTCCAAAAATTGTTTAAAATTGAACTGTTATTTAAATACCCAAAATTTATCAAAATAATTTATAAAAAATGCTTAATAAATAAATAAAAATATTTTTTATATACTACAATGCTTAAAATAATAGCTTTGTATTATAAAAAATATAAAAATGCTATTTTGACACAAATAATATAAATAAAGAGCATTTATATGTGAATATAGGCTATTATTGTAAATTAGATAAATAGCTTAAAAATGGTAATGTGATTGTATGAAATGAAGTAAAAATATTTGAAACATATATTATAAGCGCAAAATAATAATTTAGGTAATTAAATCATCACAAAATAATTTAAAGGGATAATTACTAAATATTTATATAATTTAAATGCTAGAAAAATTAATTTAAAAGCTCTAAAATTATGGAAAATTATAAAAAATGCTTGTACATATTTGTAAACTAAATAATGATGCATAAAATGCTATTTTGAAGGCATGTATATATATTGAAAAAATATGAGAGCAAAATTAGGTATCAACAGCTGCCCATCTTTACCT